CCTGGGGTAACATTTGTTCCCGGTGTGCAGAAGGAGATGAGTTTAAACCTCCCCAGCCAGAATGGAGCCTGCACAACTTCTGGCTCCTGCCAGAGGCCCCCAGGAAGTCTGTGAGGGGAGTGGGGAGCTGACTGTGCAGAAAGAGGAAGAGGCAGGTTCCCCAGACCCCTGATTTCACGAAGCATCCGAGCCAGGAGCTGAGCTTCTCCTAGGTTAAACAGCAGGCAGGGGCCTGACTCTGGGAGTCAGGCTTTTAACTCCTAATAAGGAATCAGGTGAGAGAGATGGCTCGGGGCAGGCCCTTAAGAAAAGAAGTTCAGCAGAGGGGAAGCAGTGGTCTAAAGTCACCCAGTGGTCAGATGTGGTGGCTCATGCCTGTAGTCCCAGCACTTTGGGAGGCCAAGGTGAGAGGGTCTCTTGAATCGGGAGTTTGAGATATAGTGAGACCCTGTCTTTACAAACAGTCAAAAATTAGCTGGTTGTGGTGGCACACACATGTGGTCTCAGCTATTTGGGAGGCTGAGGTGAGAGGATTGCTTGAGCCCAGGAAGTCGAGGCTGCAGTGAGCCACGATTGCATCACTGCACTCAGCCTGGGAACAGAGTGAGACCCTGCCTCAAAATAAATAAATAAATAAAGTCATGCAGTAACTGACAAGGCCATAGGCTCTCACAAAGTGATCACGAGATGTTGCTCTCAGAATCTGTGCCTGGTGCTGAGAAAACAATGAGTGAGTGAGAGGGAGTCCCAGCCCGGAGGGGCTCTCAACCATGAGAGTATCAGCTAATAACAGTAGTCGGATCCGTCAACACTACTGAGCACCTAATAGGCAGGCAGCTTTATCTACACAATCTCATTCAACCCCATAAGACGGGTATTGTAATTTGATTTTATAGACGAGGAAACTAAATGCCAGGGAGGTGAGAGACCCAGTCCGAGGCTTCCGAGCCAGTGTGCAGCGTTCAGGGATGTCTCAGTCTAGAAACCAACTGTGCTTCTCACTGCATTCGTGGTTTGCAAATTTTTTTAATGCCAAAGAGATTCTTTAAATTTGAGAGAAATCCAGTCAATAAAACAAATAAAAATAGAGCCGGAGGGGTGGGAGTGGGGATGCCAGAGGCCTGCCCACCCAGCCTTTCCTTCTGGGAACAATCTTAATGCCCTTCCCTAGACACTACACAAGCTCAGACAGAGCCTGAATGTTTTATGTGGCGGGAGGCTCACGCAGGCTGGAGGCTGGGGCTGAAGCTAAACAGAGTTCAGAGAGCATTTGCTGAGCACCTGTGGGACATCTAGATGTGTATAAGAGACAGGGCTGGAGGCTGGGGCTGAAGCTAAACAGAGTTCAGAGAGCATTTGCTGAGCACCTGTGGGACAGGTGTTGCATAGTGCTTCCTAGAAAGCTCCTGCACCAGGTGGCATCTCAGGCTGATGGCTGGTGTCTGTGCCATGCAGTGTTGTTTCATTCATTTAATACAGTAACACACATACTCCATTCTGGGCACCATACTAGTAGCTCTGGCTACAGTGGTAAGCAAAAAAATGCACATGGTCTTGCCTTCATGGAGCTGAAGTCTAGTGGGGACGAGAGCCTTTAGCAAACATGTTCCTAAAAGGAACACAGATCACAAATTGTGATTGGGGTAGGAAGGAAAGTTCAAGGTTGATGAGATATGTGAGCAGGTGGACGTGAGCAGTTTATCTCTGCAATAAGCCCTGATGAGAAATCTGGGTGAGCTGGCTTCTTAGACCAATGGCAAGAAGGATTGCTGGCATGGCAGGAGGTGGCCAAGGGTTAGGAACAGGCAGGACAGGGAGGGTGGTCCTGGACCCTCCTTGTTCCCCAGGTATTTGCAAGGCTGTTAAGAAACAGTAAATTGCCGTACCTGGTCCAATACATTCTTTGCATTCCTCAGTTCTGCAATGGACAAAGAAAAATCCCTCTCCTGAGGGTTGCATTACTGCAAATCTAGAACTCAGTGCAATGAATAATGAATAAGTGAAATCAAATTAAAACCAGAAATCATTAAGCAGTCATAATGTATCCACATAGGGTCGAATCTAAACCCACCTGGGGAGGTGTAAACATGAGAAAGCTGTTTTCTGGACTCTCTGTAGGCCTTTCTCAGCTACCCTGCTCCCAGCCTGGCCCTGCTCCCGTGTTCCTCACTATTTAACAAATATTCAGCAAACACCTGGATTGGGTAGAACACCAGTCGCCCAGCACGTGCCTGGCGCAGAGCCGGGGCTGTGTAAACACTTGGTCCTCTCTGCGGAGCTGAAGCAAAGAACACAGATACAATCCTGCCCCAGTGCCTCCCACGGGCTGCCGCTCTCAGCCCTGGCGGCAGGAAAGGCTCTACTGCAGCAGGTCACAGGAAGGCCAGGTCCCCACAGAGTCCCTTCTGTGTCACAAGGATCTTAGTTTCTGGGATTCTGAGCAGAGAGAGGGAGCTGTCCTGACCCGCCAGCTGTTTCCACTGCAGAGGCCAACACTCTGATGCTGCTCCCTCTTCCAGCTTCAGCCTCCTCCCACCTTCTCAGTCCTGCCTCTCTTCGTCTCAGCTTAGATGTCACTTTTTGGAGGTGCCCCTTAGTCTGCCCCAGACATCTCTTCTCTATGCTTGTTGACCCCCATGGTCCCCCCATCTCAGCACTCCTTCCAGGGAGCATCTGCATGTGAGGTCTGGGTACCCATCAGACTGTAGGTGGGGACAAGCCCTCTTGATGGAGGGCTTGTGTCTTATTCATTCACATGTCTGTTGTCTTGCAATAAGCATGGCACAGAGTAGGTGCTCAATAAATAAACTGAGCGAATGAACACAGGCAAATACGCAGAAGAAAATATCTTCCTGATCATTTATTCAACTGGCCATCTACCCTCGCTCTGTTTCTGTCCCTGTCTCTGTCTCTCTCTCTCAAATACACATGCACACAGAGTTCTTTGCCCATGCTCTCTCCTTTGCCAGCTTGCTTTTTCAGTCACCCCTCTTGCTGCATAATGGCCTTCTGTGATCTCATTCCTCTTTTGGTGCTGCTTGGGAAGTACAGACTCACCTGTAGGAGTGAGTCAGGAGCAGATGAGGAGTTCTGACCCTGGTCCTGCCAGGGGAATGGGTTGGGGTCTCTCTCTGCAGACCCATGTTCATCTCAGCCCTGACCCTACCCTCACAGCTGGTCATGGCAACACACTCCACAAAGGGATTCCTTGGCTAGGTGCCGCTGGATCTTTGCACCAGTGCTAGGAGGTAGACAGGCTGCAGGTAATGGACTCGTTTTACAGATGAAGAAACTGAGGCTCAGAGAGGCTGTGACTTGCCCAGGTAGCAGAATCAGAGTTGAGACCTAGGTTTCCTTAGGCCAAAGCTCTTTCTGCTGCACTTATGGGAAACCCCCACGATCCCCCTATCTCGGCATTCAGTGTGACATCCAGGGAGCATCTGTGTGTGGGGTCTGGGTCGCCACTAGACTGCAGGTGGGGACAAGCCCTCCATCAGAGGCTGCGACGGGATGCTGCCTCACACTCCTCACCCTCTTAGGTCCTGCTCTCTGTAATGTGGAAAGAAAACCTTCCAGTTGTCTCTGAGGATTGAATGGGGAAACTTTGTGAAATTTCCTAACCCCTTTGCTTTCTCCTTCTCGAGGAGGTAAAGCCACTGAGAGCCACCACAGCTACACCCATTAACCTCCTGTTCACCCCACTTCTGGCCGCCAGTAATTCTGCCAGGCAGCCTGGCCCTCCACAATGGGGGCTCAGCCCACCTGGGTACCTTGGAGGAGCAGCGCCCCATTTCAGAAGGATGGTAGGAAAATAACAGGAAGGTCAGAACGTCCCAACGAAGGAGATAAACAGAATCCCATCATTCCCACCACCCACACATGCCACACAACGTACACCGGGCCAGACCCGCTAGGCAGCAGGCACCTGAGCCATGTCATGAGATCTGGCTGCACATAGCCTTTCTCTGCTCTCACTGTTATTTTTCAAAAACCCATCAAAGGTTTGTGGGCTCCTTCCCTGAATATTCTGCCGGCTGCTTCCAGCGCCTCTCCCCCCCAGCCCCCAAAAGACTCTTCCTGAAAGACAGCATGAATATTTAAAGACATTTTTTCAGCCAGTGGAACCACATCACGCTGCCGCTCTCCCTTGACATCATCTCCAGAAAGTTGGCCGGATCCCTCCGAGGGCCTCACCTTCCCTGGTGCCGAGTGTAAAACGGGGTTTAAGACACAGGGCCAGGCCCTGAGGAGTTAGCCTTCTTTCTGCCTCCCGGCTGTGGGCCCATCTGGGGCTGCAGCCCTAATTCTGTTCCACAGCCACTTTCTGGTCTGCCCAGACAGTCACTCCTGCAAACCACCTGCCACCCCAGTTCTTGGAGAAGCTGAAAAGACAGGCACGGACATAGGCATGAAATGTGGAGGGACAGGGATCCAAGAAAGCAGAACGATGAATGCAGCCCCAGAAGCACGAGACCCTGGAACCCTATGAGAGGAAGCTCTTGGCACCTGAGGTGCAGAGCTGATCCAGTTTCTTGAATCCACCAGTGCAAAGCAGATTCCGGTCCATCACCACCTCCTGCTGGCCCCCTCAAGCGTCTCTGTTCTGCAGAATTACTCACAACCCACTGCATCAAATCTCTCTTTTATCAACAAAATACAACCCTCCGTGGATAACTTCTTGAAACTCCAGTCACGCTAAGCCACTTCCAAAGCTCTGGAAAGGGTTCTGTCCCTCTGCCCGCCCATAACCTATCAGCCACACACCACCAACTCCATTTCCAAAGTTCCAGGCAATTACAGCCAGCTGAGTTCCCTGGCTGGGTGCCTGCCTACTCAGAGCCAGGACCCAGGTTGTCAGCAACCTCGAATCCCAGCCACCAATTTCCCCAGCCTTGTCCAAGACCTGGGTGCACCAGAATGGCCATGCTCAGCACACCGAGGCAATACGACCAGCCAGGTCATATCAAGACAGAAAGCAGGGGCAAGACCAGTTTCCATACCTTTGCTGAGGGTCCCAGTGATGAGCTTAAAGATGGTCTGGGCAAATTTCACGAACCCGAGCTTGCATCTTTTGGAGCAGCCGCTCATGGTGGTGGAGGGGAGCCAGGCTCTGCTGTCAGCACCCAGAAGGGACAGCACCCACCTTATGCACCCCAGGAACTTGGAGCCTGCCTGGGTGAACCCTGAGCGACGGATGCACCCCCAAAGCCAGGCTCCGGGAACAGCACAGCTGCCTCTGCAGCGAGTCTGGCTTCTGCATCCAGAGAGCCTGCAGGGCAAACTCTCCCTCCCTCTCTCCACCCACTCCTGCTGTCCACTTAAGTCCTCGCCACGGGAGGACCTCAGGATGCCAGGGCCAGGACAGCACTGCTGGGGCACAAGGTACTCCAAGGGAACCAAGGAGGAGAGTAAAGCTGAGCAGAGCAGGGAGGGAGGAGCTGGAGCTCTCCCAGGCTTTGCTGACTGTCTTTCTTACATGGCAGCGGTAATGTAGCAATTAATACTCAAGTCAGAAGGGAGGGGACTGCTACGCAGAAAACACTCAGCCCCACAGTCTCCCACACTCGCTCTCCCACTCTTTCCTTCCTGGTTAATCTGATAGATCAATTCTCTGTGCCTTGATCAGGATCTGGAAGAACTCCCCGCAGAGCAGGAAGCGGCTGTCGGCACTCAGCAGAAAGTTTGTAGGCAGCCTCAGAGTGGCCTGGTTTGCATCTCAGAGAAGCTGGGCTGAGTGGAGCCTCCGGGGAGCCGGCCTGTGAACGTTGGACAGACAGACAGAGCCCACGCAGCCTGTCCAGTAACCTTGGCACCAACAGCAGATGCTGTTTGCCTTCCTGACTTGGAAAGGACAATGCCCCTGACCACCTCCTGCTCCAGGTATCCCTGACTCAAAGTCAGACTGCTGAATTCCAGCCTCCACCCCTGCGGAGCAGTCATGAGTCTGCTCTCTCACTGGGATAGGAAAGGAATGCAATTAGGGCTTTTCTTGATTGAGATAGTATTCCTCAGAAATGTCATAAAGGAATGACCGAGTTTCATATAATTAGAATACAATGCAACACTCTTAACAGTGAAACTGCAAGGCAGTATGCACATGTGAAGTCCAGCTATTGCTCCATAAAAAAAACCTGGCTGCCATTCAGTACCATAGGCTGCGTGAGTTGGAAGGGACCTTGGTGGCAGGGACATCTCATCCCACCCTCTTCACCGGGTGTGAACCTCCCCCAAAACAACCCTGCTTTGCTTTCTTCAGAAAGTTCTTGTGGTCCCTGGCCATGGGCACATCTGTGAATGTAATGTGGCTACTTGTGAACAGCAGATATGAAACACCTTCATCTGAATAAGGCTATGCACTGGCAACTCTCTTCTGCCCCAACTGTCTCCCTTTGATCTGCTTCTCTGGGATGTTCAAGAGGAATCGTTGCTTAAGAGACAGAGAATGGAGACTGCCAGTTTACAAAATGCTAGATAAGCCAGAACTCATGTATCAGGTCTGATTTTTACCCCATGTTCTGGGAGTGAGTGTGGAAGCGAATCTTCAAGAAAGAAATATCAGCCCTTAGAGTGGTCATCAACAAATTTCAGCTCTGAAAAGAGGCCTGGGAGACAGTCTGCAAACTTAGAGCCTTTTCAAAGCCCCAAAACCCTCAAGCCTTGTCAGCATGGTAGGAGTCAGAGCATATAAAACAGAAGTAGCTCTGGCAGGAAATACCCCATTGTGCTGGATGTCTTAGGGCTTGAAATTGCCGTGTTATTCACTCTCTGCCTTAAGAGTTGAAGGCCCCAGATAAAAGGCACATGGTGTCCGGGAATGTTAAAGGCACTTAGGCTTTGGTTCACTCATTCACTTATCCAATATTTACTGAGCTCCCAGTGTGTAGGAAAGAGCTGAGCACCCAGGGTGCAGAAAGGGCTGAGCCAGACAATTGAGACGACAAGGTCAGAGCTCTCGTGGACTTACAGAGAAGGGGATTTACCACGAGACACTCAGTCCTTGTTGAGAATCAGTTTATCTAACTAATTTCTTTCACTTTGCAGAATCTTAGTGGGACTGAGGCATGAGGCAGGTAGGTGTTAAGACGATCATGGAGCACGACCTGGCAGGCAAGGAGTGGGCAAAGAACAGACAACCTGGGCACCACGGAGCAGAAAGATCGGAGACAGAAAGTTCAGAGGGAGGGTGTGGGACCCATCTGATCATTTTACCAACAATAATACTGTCCTCTGAATAGGTGAGTTCACTTTGCAGGACATAGGACTCTCAGCTATGCCCTGTTGCTCCTCTCTTCCATCCTATCAGACAGGGCAAGACTAAAAATTGAGAAGCCAAAGGAAAAAAGGCTGTGACAGTAGTGATATTAGGTGATCCAGAACTCAGTCTTCGGCCTGGAAATCTGGTCAGGAATCCTGCTGGAGGAATGACTGCCACGAGACTGTCAGCAGCCTCTGTTCAGGGATGACAAGAGATGTCCAGGGTGGATCTACATTTGGGCCCCAGTTCAGGAATCCCAACATTTGACTATATATTGGGAAAGAAACAAAAGCATATGTTGTTTGCTCTGGCAAATCCTATGAACATCCCATAGCTCCTCCAAGCCAGATGTGTAATGGATAAGAGCATAGATCTTCGCACCAGGTATTTACTGACTCACTTGTTTATCCTACACATACATATTGAAAGTATACCATTATCATGGACTCTGCTCCAGGTGCTGAGGATACAGTGGTGGATAGAACACACAAAGTCCCTGGGCTTATTGACATTATATTCATGTGGTCCAGGGACAAAAACAGTCAACAAATGTGTCTCTATACAAGAGAGAGTGCTTTAAAGAAAAAGAAAACTAATCAAATGGATAGAGAGTAATGGGAGCTCTGATTTCAGATAGGGCCACTGGGGAAGGCGTCTATTAAAATGACATTTGAGCAGAGACCCAAACCAGCCATACAGCTCTCTGGGGGTAAGAATATTAAGGCTGAGAGAATAACAAGTGCAAAGGCCAAAGACAGCCCTGAGCTCAATCCTAGGGTTGAGCTCAACTCAGCAGCCGTTGAACAAACAGGTTAGCCTCACTGAGCCTCAATTTTTTCTTCTGTAAAGTGGGAATAATAATCCCTGACTCATAGGGTCTAGGGAAGGTTTAAATGAAATTAATGTGCTTAATACAGTGGCTGGCATAGTACATGGCAGAGGTTATTATGTCAATGGCAAAGGTTATTGCTGCTGCTCCTACCTCTCCTACTATTGATGCTGATGCTATTTCTGCCCCATCCCCAAAACAACCCCTACCATCTATGTGACTAGACAAGAAACATTCTCGATCAGTCTGGAGTCCTGAACACCTACTATGTGCCCAGTCCCAGGCAAATGCTGTGGAGGGCTTCAAAGGAAGTGTGAGATGGGATCGTTGTCCTCACATAAAGCCATTATAAAACAACTTTTATCAAGGGAGGGGTAGAGAATGCCAGAAGAGGAAGAGAAGATTGAGATCACTGAAGCTGTGGTGAGTGGAAAAGAACTCACAGAGGTGGAAACCAAGCAAGCACAGAAAAAGGAAGGTGAAAATAAATAGAGGCTGTGCAGATGAGACTTTTTAACTGTTGGAAATTACGGAGCCAGCTCTTCAATGTTTACCTCTCCCAGCAGCAGGCATTTTGGATTCTCCTCTGATCTCTGCAAGGCATCATGTGTTTGAACTCTCAGCCTTGGACGAATAAGTCAGGCCCAGAGAGGGTCAGCAGCATCCAAAACACCACACAGCAACATCCCCCAACACATGGGCAAGGGACTCAGTGTGCCAAGAACATTCCCAGCAAAGGAAGGCAAGGTGTGCCAGTATGCAGCTCATGATAGGAGAGTACAGGAGAGAATTGTGCTCTGTGCAAGGAATGTGCTATTCTGCAAATAAGGAACAGGGAAGAGGATTTACGTAGCACCCGAGACCCGAGAAATGAGACCATCAGCAGCCATGTGTTAGTCAGCCTCTGGGTCACAGATGTGCGTTATCCAAAGGAACTTGGGAAGTCAGAGTTTTCTCTCCACCTGAAATGTTTATGGGAATCTTCACACCCCAGTTCCAGGCGGAAGTAGGACAGGCAGATGGGGGCTCCAGCTGGTGTCTGGGCCTGGGAAAGTGCTCCGACTTTGAGTGCAAGGCCAAGAGAGGACAAACAATCTGTCCTTCAGGAGGTTGAACGGCTGTCCTCCTCAGTGATGATAATGATAGCATCATTCGCCAAGTTTCTTCCCCGTGCAGGCGACTGCTCTAAGTACGTACATACCTTAAATCTTTATATAGCCCTATGATGTAGCTATTATGTTATTATCTATTCTATAGGTGAGGAAACAGAGGCCCAGAGAGGGAAAGTAACTTCTTGATGGTCACACAACTGAAGCTGAATTTGAGTCCAAGATCATTTGACATTTGACTCTAAAATGTACAAAACCTTACTTGATATCTCACCAGGGCTCAAAATTAAAATGACTCACAGTGTTAGAGAGGTATATTTTGCCTCGATATTGGAAGAAGTTAGTAGCTGTCTATCATAAACGTACACTCTCCGTCTCTGGATGCATCGTGGAGAGAGATTGAAGATATTTGTTCTGGAAAGAATTCCCTCTAAGGCCAGAGTTGCAGCGTGGGAGAGGAGGCAGGAAATGACTAGACAAGGGATCAGTCACTGTCCAGCCAGGAGAAAGAGACCACAGCAGCCAGTTTAACAGAGAGAATCTCACATAAAGACTTGTTAAGCTAACATTGGAGGACTGCAGGAGGCTAAAAGGAACACTGAGGAATCATAGAGGTAGGAACTGCAGGAAGCAGCTACCACTCCTAGAGCTGGGTGGGGGTGAGTAGAGGGCAAAGGAAATCGAGGCTGGAATCCCCTGGACCTAGAACTTCAGCAAAGGGGCCCAGTGACGCTGAGACCTAGACTTCTGCAGATGCAGTGCCTGCTGGCTGATGCTGATGTCCTGAGGTTTTGTGATGAGCTTCATTCTGGGAGTTAAAGAAAGAACACTACAAACTGCAACCAGCTGCTGCAGCCGGAACGTATTTGATGCCAGGGTCAAGAACTATTGCCTTGTAGTTGCAGGCAGAAGTGAACTAGAAAAAAACCTCTTCTTCCAGCCTGCACCTCTCTCCCCTCATAGTGACAGAGCTTGTCACAGGGCTGCTTGCAAAGCAGAAATGAGCAGAGCAGAGAAGGGAGCGCTGAAACCTGAGTGTGAAGGACTTAAAAACCAGTGCCATCTAGATGTCTTCCTTCCTAAAATCCTACAGCCTTTTTCTCCTCATGTGTCCATTCAGCACATATTTACCCGATACCTACTATGTGCCAGCCATTAGGGATATGCTGGTAAATAAGAAAATCCCTTGCCTCAGAACAGAAAACCAAACACTGCATGTTCTCACTCACAGGTGGGAATTGAATAGTAAGATCCCTTGGACACAGGAAGGGGAAC